GTGTCTTAAGGTGTTATTCTAGTATGAACTCTATGATAGATCGAACGGAAAGAATAGCTTCGTGTTATTTTACTATGGACTCTTGAATAGATCGAGCAGAAAGGATAACTTTGAGGTGGTTTCATACCCTACCATAATCTCTTCGTTTGTTCTCCGCTATTAGTGACTTTGGAGTGACTCTTTATTGCATGTTGAGGGATAGTTATATGATCCAGTTATGTTATTATTGTTTAGAGAACTTGCACTCGTGAAAGTATGAACCCTAGGCCTTGTTTCCTAGCATTGCAATACCGTTTGTGCTCACTTTTATCATTAGTTACCTTGCTGTTTTTATATTTTCAGATTATAAAAACCTATATCTACCATCCATATTGCACTTGTATCACCATCTCTTCACCGAACTAGTGCACCTATACAATTTGCCATTGTATTGGGTGTGTTGGGGACACAAGAGACTCTTTGTTATTTGGTTGCAGGGTTCTTTGAGAGAGACCATCTTCATCCTACGCCTCCCACGGATTGATAAACCTTAGGTCATCCACTTGAGGAAAATTTGCTAATGTCCTACAAACCTCTGCACTTGGAGGCCCAACATCGTCTACAAGAAGAAGGTTGTGTAGTAGACATCAACCACCCGACTCCTCCCGTGTCGCCCCTGCGCGGTGACCGGGAGGAACCCTAGCGCCACCGCGTCCTCGTCCCTCCCCTGACCTCTCCTCCTCCCCGCCGCCGGGCAAAGCCCGGTCGGCGGCGGCGGGATCTCTTCTCCCATGGCTCACTGGATCTGGCGCGGGTGGATCGCGGCGGTGGTTGGTGGCGCGCCAACGCGGGCTTGGGGGCGATGGCAGTTTCTCCTGGTGTGCGTGGGAGTCCGCTTGGGGCACGTGGCGGCGGCCCTCGGCAAGCGGTGGCGAGCGCTAGGCTCTTGGTGGCGCTTCGGCTTGTGCAGGTGATGGCGGTCCCTTTGCGCGGTCGGCGGCTCCGTATCTGACCGGACGGCGTGGGGGATGGCAGCGGCCCGGCGTGGCCGGCGATCTGAATGCGGTGGTGCCGGCTGCTCGCTGATTTGCCGGTGCTCCATGGTTCTTCCTGGTGGTGCTGGTGGTGACGGCGGCCCGTGCATGAGAGTTGGATCCCTTCGAACTGATATGGGTGAAAACTTGCCTTCGGTGTTTGCTAAGGCCGGCGGTGGCGGCGCTATCTGCGTCGTTCCCTTCTGGAAGGCATCGCCGTGGAGAAGTTCATGGCCACTCTGTGCTACCTCTGGGGAAACCCTAGATCGGATGATCGGATGACAGCGGCGCTCTGGTGTCGTTCCTTCCTTGGGGGCGTCATTCTTGGAGGTACACACGTGATCGAGGGACCAGAGGACGGATTCTTTGGTGGAGCGGCGCTTCATCCTACACACTGATGGCGACGGATCTTGACGGCGTGGCGCAGTGCAGATTTGGAGTTTGCTGTGGGAGGATGGACTTGCGCAGGAGGACGACGATGTCGGGCGTCGTGGTGGTGTCGATGGCAGAGAGACCTGACACAGTACATGCAACAATACATCTCTGAAGAATGCAGCAGGTTGCTGCGGCGGCCTCATACCCGGCAGGCGTCCTGGTTGAGGAATGCGCCGGATTGGTAGGTGCCCCATACCCGGCAGGCGTCCTGATTGGGATCTCAGGTCTTAGATGTTTAGGTTTGGTTGCGATGTCTGTTTGGTATTAGGCCCAGACTATCTGCGCCCCTTCATCAATTGGATAGGTGTAGCAACAGTTGTTGCTTAGACGGTGGCTTTAGTCTTGCTGTTGTATGGCTTTGTAAGGTCTTGTGAGAATAATTAATAAAGTGGCCGTATGCATCGCCCAGATGCAAAGGCCGGGGGTCATCCTCCCTTTTTTAAGAAAAAAAAAATCTCGTCCGTTGTTGATTCATCCCCGTATTATGGTGCATCGACCATGCTGGCCCTCAGCCCTCGACAAGGCCGGAAAATTACTCTACCACGACCCCGTTTCAGTCTGCTATATCCGTACAAGGGCGTCGAGCGCCAACCACGGCATTCCAGGAGTAAGAGCATCTCCAGCCGTTGGCCCCCCAGGAGGCGCCTGAAATCGCCCCCTGGGGGCGAGCCGGCGCAAAAAAACAGCCTGGGGGCGAGTTAGTCCCCAGTCGCCGGCCTCAAGGCCGCCCCCAGGCGCGTCTAATTGTTTTAAAAAAGAAAAGTTTGGCGACGTTCGGTTAAACATGGCTAAATTCAACCAAACTTCGGTGAGTTCATACATATTTAAAATATTTTACAGAAAATAAAAAAAACGCTACTAGGCCCGTCGCCCTTGCTGCTCCTCACCGCCCGCCGCCCTTGAAGCTCTACATGCCGAGGCGCCTGTAGAACTGCGTGTAGTCGCCGCCGCCACCGCCGCCGTCGTCATCGTTGTCGTCGCCTCCTCCGCGGCCGTCGTCCCAGCTGCACCCCTCCCCAGGTTGGCGCGGCGGGTTGGACGGTCCGGGGGCGTCCTCGTCCTCGTTGCTGTCGAGGATCACCATGCCGTGTTCATCCTCAGGCCCATGCCTGCGGGCGGCTATCTCCTCCAGGGCTCGGTGCTGCCGGACAATCTCGTCGCGGAGGTAGTCGTCCCGCGCCCACTTTAAGGCCTCCTCGTCGGAGAAGCCGCGCCGGGCTATGGCCTCGTACTCCGCGGGGAGGCCGGGCTCCGCCTTCGCCTAACGAGGACGAGGCGTCCAAAGGTGGGGGAGGAGTCGGCGATGCGGACTCCGGAGCTGCGGGTGCGGTGGCTGACCGGCGTGTCCTGGGGCTCCGGCTTGACGGGGCGGAGGCAGGGAGAGCCGGTCGAGCGGCCGGACGAGGAGGAGGACGCCCCCGGGTCCATGTGCCTCAGCGTCCACGAGCTCCCACGCCGGCGGGAGAAGGACGGTGGAACGGGGTACTCCAGCCCGGCGTGTTGCCGCCCTCGATGTACTTGAGGACGGACTCCAGCGTGCGGCCGGGCTCGCCCCATCATCGGTGGCGGCCTTCGGAGTTGAGCCTCCCGGAGGGCACGACGCCGTTGGTGGCCTCGAGCTGCTCGGCGTCACGGCGACGGAAGTAGGGCTCCCACAGCGGGCTGTCGGGGACGTACCGTGGACCTTCCCTCGCCGCCTGCGGCAGAGAGGCGCGGATACGCGCAATCTCCGCACGCCGCGCCGCCCCGGTGGGCGGTGGTGGCACCGGGACCCCGCCAGCGCTGATCCTCCACGCCCCGGGCACCCGCATGTCCGGCGGGACCGGGTACTCGGCCTCAAAAAGGAGCCGAGCCTCGTCCTCGTGAAAGTGGTGGCGGCCGATGCCGTTCGCCGCCGCACCATCGCCCGGGAAACGCTCGGCCATGGTTGAACTTGAGACGGCGAGAGGAGAGGGAGGAACGGGGGAGGAACGGGCGTCGGCGATGGAGTGTATGTGCGTCACCGGCGCGCTGGGGGCGGCTTATATAGGCAGAGGCGCCGCGCATACGCGTGGCCGCCGTGTGTATGCATGGCGGGCGAGGGACGCGCGTCGTCCGGTCTTCACTGCGTCGCCCGTGAGGCATCAATGGAGGAAGCTGACCGGCGCGGCAGCTTTGGCATTGATTCGCCGCGGGAACCGAGGCGATGAGGACGACGAAGCGGCGAGAAGAGCCGAGTCACTTCCAAGGAGGGCCCGCCGGTTTTCACGCCAAAAACGTTTCGGCCGGCGCCCCCAAGCGCCCCCCAGCGCGCCGGGTTCGGCCTGGATCCGCCGGCGTCAATTTCGGTCCAAACCGGCGAAAAATGGGCCTTTGAGGACGCGACTGGGCAGTTTTTTCGGCGCCGGTACAAAAAAATCGCCTGGGAAGGCCGTTCTGGGGACACGGCTGAAGATGCTCTAACACTCGACGTGCTGAGCCGGCCCAGTTTACAACAGCAGAACCGCGTGGCTGGCGTCTTCGCCTCTAGAGTCCAGACCGTGCCGGGGGTCGTTGCTTTGGCGCAAGACCACCTGAGGTCGCTGCGTCCATTATTTACTCCTGTGTAAAGAGTACTCCCTCCGTTCCATAATGTAAAATATTTTTTGACACTAGTGTAGTTATGAGGCACGAACGGAACAGTTTTTCTCCGCCTTGCAGTTTAGCCATCCCATTCTTGTTTCTAAATAGCATAATAACATCCGCTCAAGCACAACTGCTAAGTACTAGAGTAATTTTTTTGGGACGAACTGTTCAGTCAAATTAAATCTGCTCAATCAAACGGCTAGGTTATGGCTTTTGTACCCTGATTAGAGAACTATGGAGCGAAGAAGCGTTGTTCATTTTCATCCCCGGATTCTTATTGACACCTCACTATTCCAAGCATTAGAATACACATCGAAATAATATGCTCAGAGTTAATATAGCTTGAAAGGCACGTTCAATTAAGGATCTGCCTCTCTCGAGCAAATTGACACACACACAGAGACCAATGATCTTGGAGAGCAAGGGCGGCCTCCAAATTTTCAGTCTCCAAATCAGCAATGTCTAATGTTGGCTCGCTCAACTTGTATACCCTAAAACTCAGACACACTATCTATAGTAACCTAATCAACTTCAGCTCACAAAGAGAGCTTCCTAATCGAACTAACAATGTAGCTCTCCTGTTGTAGATTCCTGCCGAAGGAGACACGCTATGGCACTACCCCAGCTTGCAACGGGCCTACGGGCAACTGGACCTTGACTCATGAGAGGTAGCAGCAAGTCGTTCTTTAATTTGAACTTTGAATTAAGTCTCATGAGTCAAGTCTCTGTAAGGCAACGAAAAACGCAGCTACCAACACGGCAACAATAATGGCGCTGCAGCAATTGCACAGGAAATGACGTTGGCCACATAATGGCGCTGCACACGCTTTCATCTTGATGAACCTGTAATGCTGGGAACGAGGGCAATTTACTGTTGATGTTTCTACATCTTTTATTTATAACCCTGAGCACCAGCTTGAGGTTGTAAAGCAGACTCGTAGTAGAAAGATGAGGTACAGGCGCTCACAGCTTCACTTCATCCTGCTATTGCTCGCATACTACTGCCCCACCCACATCGCTGCCAACGGCAATGGAACCACAGTCCAGTGCCTCCCTGGTCAGGCTTCGTCTCTACTCCAGCTCAAGCACTCCTTCCACAACCCAAACCTCTCGTCTTGGCAGCATGGCACGGATTGTTGCCACTGGGAGGGTGTTGGCTGCGACATGGCCTCCAGTCAGGTGATCACTTTGGACCTCAGTTATCGTGACCTACAGAGCACCAGAGGTCTCAGCCCAGCACTATTCAACCTCACCTCTCTTAGAAACCTAAGCCTAGCATCCCAACTCAGCCTGTAAGTGGATGCGGGCCGTCCGCGGCACCCATGTCCAAGCCCGCAAAAATCGCGTCCGTGGACACCCGCGTCTAATCGCCGAAATTATGTGGGACTTACGGGCTTGCCCACGGAACCCACGTTGATCCCACGTCTGCCAACGCTATGCTAAAAAATCACGCGACCATGAGATTGACTCGACCTTGCGGACTGAGCGCGGCAAGCAGCAGCCAGAGCGCCGCAGCTAGGTCCGGCCCAAACCATCCTACCTCACTGCCTTCGTTTCCGCCATCCATGCCGCCGGGCCCGTGTGACCCTGCTGTTGCTTCCGCAGTCGCCTCCCTCCTCATCATCTTCACCCACCACATCACCTCCCTGCTACCATTAGCTGCCGCTTGTACCTCATCGAGAATTCAAGACCTTCGGGCGACCTGAGCACTCGCCGGCAATCGTGGTGGCACAACAACAACCAGCTGTGGTGGGCGCTGTGAATATCCAATCCCTCCGCACAAGCACTGCTACGGCTGCCGCACGCAGCTCGAGCTGATGGCTGATGCTGCCATTCGCGGGAGGATCATCAGTGCCCGCAAAAAGGCATCAGGAAGCCAACTACAATGTCGTATCAGTTTTCTGTTGCTATGATGATCGCGGCACTGTTACTACTGTATAAGCAATTTCTTGTCAGATTTTGGACCTTCGATTGATTTGAGTCACCGCTGAGTGCAAGACAATGTGATTGGATTTCGGTTGCTACTTTCTTCTAACTGCTGTTTTCCTGGGAGCCAGCTATAGTCGAGTTTGAAGTATTGCGTAACCAATCAATGGCTTACTGTTGCATCAGTGCTTATAAGAATTTAACTTTAGTGGGCATCCCACTAAACCCACTTATTCCGCATAAAAACATGTGAGCTTTGGCGGGCCTCCCACATAACGTATGCGGCAACTGTGGGGCGGACGCGGGACTCCCGCGTACAGTCCCACTTGCACCCTGAATCCCAACCGTCGGGTTTGAGAGGCTTAGCGAGCTCATCTCCATTGATTTGCGTCATATAAACCTTGTTGGTCAAATCCCTATTGGCATTGCTCACCTCAAGAAATTGCAGAAACTCGATTTCTCCTACAATACTGAACTTTATTTCGGTGAACCAAGTTTTCAGATGGTTGTAGGAAATCTGAGCAATCTGAGGGAGCTCTATCTTGATGCAGTGAAAATCTCTCGCGATGGAGAAACTTGGTCTAACTCTTTAGCAAACTCTGTTCCTCGATTGCAATTCCTTAGTTTGTATGACTGGTCTACCAGGTCAGATACACTTCCTTCTCAAGACTCCAGTCCCTCCAGAAGATCAGACTTTCACAAAATAGTATCTCCGGCGAGGTTCCTGAGTTCCTTGCTGCCTTCTCTTCCTTGAGTACCCTTGATCTATCTGATAATGAATTTGAAGGGCAGTTTCCCACAAAGATATTCCACCTAAAAAAGTTAAGGTCAATTGACTTGTCTTTGAACACTAGGCTTTTCGGGCACCTACCAAATTTCCCAGTTCAAAATAGTTTGGAGTTACTTGATCTTACGGACACCAACTTCACTGCATCAATACCAGACTCTTTTGTCAACCTCAAGTTCTTGAGATCCTTGGCGCTCAGCATGAGAGAACTTGCCGATGGCACTATCCCTTTAACATTCAAGCTTCCTAGCTTACAGTTCCTGTCACTCCATGGGTCAGGCTCGGAGAAGCCAAATTTCTCTTGGATCGGCAATCTTGAGCGTTTAAGATACTTGGACCTGGAACACTACAACTTGTCCAGTCCAATAACTTCTTGGGTTGGCAACCTTACAAGTTTGACAAGTTTGTTGCTTCGAGATTGCAGCTTATATGGGAGGATACCCATCTGGATCGGCAACTTAACAAATCTTTCTAGGCTATATCTTACCAGCAATAACCTCCAAGGTGAGATCCTAAATTCCTGGGTTTTTTTTTCCTGATGTACCTACAATGAGAACTTTGTTCGTGGGAGATTTTTTTCTAATGAAAGGGAATTGAACCTGGTTTTATAAATGAAAAGTTATATAGTCTAGCCATAAAAGAAAAGGGTTCCCGCAAAAAAAGCATAAAGGAAAAGGGAACTGACATATTGCTGATTCGGACTAAATGCTCAACAATAATAAGGAAAAGTGTTAAAGAAACGCCAGCATCCTAGTCTTGTACTCCCTCCGTTCGGAATTACTTGTCTCGGAAATGGATGTATCTAGAACTAAAATACGTCTAGATACATCCATTTTCGCGACAAGTAATTCCGAACAGAGGGAGTACATCCTAGAAGATCGATCATAAGAGAAATCATATGAGCTGCTAACTTGCCAATGCACAACCTTTTGATATGTTAAATATCTGCTCCGCCACTCGCCATAGACTTGGTGCTGCACATTTCTTCCGTGCTCTTTCTTTAATAGATCCCAAGATTCAATTGTGATGCATCACAGAATTAGGATCATCAGGATAAACAGGCTGAAAACAAGCCTTGTTCCTTTCTTTCATAAAGCCCGTAAAATTTCTGGCTTAATATATTAAAAGTATTATCCATTCAGTGCCATGTTATTTTTTTCGCATGCAATTCTATTTCGATTTAGAAGAATATATCTGTAAATTACTACCCTTTGAGTTTGACCGGTTTTATCTCTATATGTGCAGGTGACATTCCAAAATGTTTGTTCAATCATCCAAAGTTGGGAGAACTGAACTTAGGATCAAATCAACTTTCTGGTCATCTTGTGGATGTTTCTGCACCTCGATCTTCACCTTTATATTACATTGTGTTAAGTTATAATCAGCTAAGTGGCCACATACCCAAATCATTCTTTCAGTTGACAAAACTAGAAGATATTCTGCTTGAATCGAATAAACTGGAGGGCGCTGTGGAGCTTAGCCTTCTTTCAGGACTGAAATATCTAGAACTGTTGAGCCTTTCTGACAACATGCTATCAGTAACAGATGGAGAATATCCATTTCCTTCCCTGCCAAACATGCAAAACCTATACCTTGTGTCTTGCAACCTTGCAAAAATACCAAGTATGTTGAGGCATCAATATGAGATGGATGATGTTGACCTTTCAAACAATAATATAGATGGAGTTATACCATGTTGGTTGTGGGAGAATGGGGAGAACAGTATCCGGTTCAACCTTTCACACAACATGTTCACTAGCCTGGAGAAGTGTACACTACTTAATCCTACCATGAGGAGTTTGGGTTTTCTTGATCTTAGTTCCAATAGACTTGAAGGGAATTTACCAATACCACTCATATCCAGTACATTCGGTGGAGTTTTGTTAGATTATTCCAATAACAGCTTCTCTTCAATTACACCAGCCGTGGATATGCATATCAACAACTCCATCAAGCTAGATTTGTCCAAGAATAAACTAAATGGTGATATACCAACTTCAATTTGTGGTGGAAACTATGAAATCCTAGACTTGTCATACAACAACCTTACTGGCCCGATTCCAGCCTGCCTAATTCAACATGGCAATATGAAAGTATTGAAGATGAGAAAGAACCAATTACATGGGATACTTCCTGAAAATATTGGAGAAGGTTGTATGCTTCAGACAATAGATTTGAACAGCAACCTAATTGAAGGGAAAATACCCAGATCACTCTCTAACTGCAGAAGCTTAGAGGTCTTTGACATAGGTAACAATCATATTGTTGATTCTTTCCCGACCTGGTTGGGCTCCATTTCCAATCTTCGAGTTCTCATCTTGAGATCCAACCAATTCTATGGTTCAATTGGGAGTCTTACAAAAGGTGTTGCTGCAAGAAAAATTTTCTCAGGAATGCAAATTGTTGATTTGGACTCAAATAACTTCTCTGGGAGCTTGAGCTCAAAATGGTTTGACATGCTACAAACAATGATGGCAAACTCTAGTGGTGAGGGTAATGCTCTGGCCTTTGATAGTAGTTTTCTTGGGGATCAATACTACCAAGAAATTCTCACATTTAAAGGGATTGAACTTACATTTACCAAGATCCTGACCACTTTCAAGATGATCGATTTCTCAAACAACGCTTTTGATGGTCCCATCCCAGCCTCTGTTGGAAAGCTTATTGTTCTTCATGGTCTGAACATGTCACATAACGCCTTCACCGGAAGAATCCCATCAAAGCTTGGTGACTTGGCACAACTCGAGTCACTGGACCTCTCCCAGAACAAGCTCTCAGGGGTGATTCCACGGGATCTAACCAGCCTAACATATCTCGCGGTGCTGAATCTCTCCTACAACAGTTTGACCGGAATGATACCAGAAGGGCAGCAGTTCTCGTCATTTACCAACAGTTCATTCCAAGGCAATGAAGGACTGTGTGGAAGGCCACTTTCCAAACAGTGCAACAGTTCAGTTACGGGAACTCTCAACTCATCGGTGTCTTCACAAGACAGTGTTGGAACCATAGTGTTGTTTGTGTTTGTGGGATCCGGCTTCGGAGTTGGCTTTGCGGCGGCAGTTGTGTTGTCAGTGGTTTGGCAGGCTAAACGTTGGAACTGCAATTGTTTCCCCGTTCCACCAGTGACCATGATATGACTCGGGGTGTGCCAGTGTGTTTGTGTATCACGTATTCATATGAGCTTGTACGAACCTACTTGTATAAGGTTAATGCACCTTTTCATATAAGACTTGTAAAGTAAGGGAACAAAATCATAGTACGAGCTTGTACGAACCTGCTTCTTAAGGTTAATCAAGACAGAGTCTGTGGTAAACCTTGATCCCCATGTCTTTTGCGGCCAAAGTGTGGTCAACTGAGGACACCTGAAAATGGTAATAAATGAGTGCAATTAGAATTACAGTTCCTAGTGCCAATCCTGTATTTCTCGCGCCATTTTTTGGGAAAAATAAATGAGAGATGTGTATATTTTGCTCCCACCATGAGGATGGAGCCGTCGCCCAGGCACATTCCATCGAACACATGGAAGGCGACGACGAACCCCATGGCATCCCCGGTGACCCCTGAGTGAAAACTGATAACTGTCTAGCAACTTGGGTGGCCTCCCTGCTCCGGCTTGCCGCGTTTCATGGGTCTCATCTCTCCGGCAAGTGATGATGCTCCGACTTGGTGCATGAGCTGCTGCAGCCACCTGCGGACACCGGCGCTGCGGCGCGACGCGCGCGTGGGACAGGCAGACGCCCACCGTGCTCGCCACGAGGATCGATGGCCGGGAGGGACCGCACCCCCTCTGCTCCGTCGCCTCGTAGGTTCGATTAGTTGGAGATGTCACGAAATATGTGGGATAAGATTCGCATAATTCGACTTAACCAAGCTGGGCCGGCCAATCTTACCATGTTTCCTTTCTGTAACGGAAAAAAGAAATAGCACACCCTGTTTCCTTTATGTAACGGA